ATATATATATGACCAGCAAAATTTTGATAAGTTTACCGATGTTTCAAACTATTCATTGAACTTGTCTCACTATACACTCGTGAATCGCACCAATTTATATTGTTACGGGGGCAAATTTATCTTACATGGGTTACAAATTTACATATTTACATGAGCGAAGCATACATAATAAAAATGACCCCGGTAAGAATTTACTAATGAAATTTTACATGGTTGCCGCTACCGTTTAGTTCAATTTGTAGATTAGTAACCTTTAATTGAAAATTGTCCGACTATATAGTAAAAAGTATCACTTTATACAGCTGTGAGGTATGGCCACTGAAAGAAAGAACACTGGCAACGCTAAAAATGACGGAAATGGATTTTTGGAGAAGAGCCGCAGGAAGATCTAGAAGAGAAACCATTACAAACGAACGCATTAGAGAAATAATTGGAATCAAACGAAAAATCACAGATGACCTAACAACAAAACAACTTTTATCTGATTCGGACACATACAAAGAATGGATGAACAACGAATATAAAAAAATATTAAAATGACAACCAGAAGGAAAGAGAAAACGAGGTAGACCGAGAAAAATTTGGAGCGAAGGAATAAATAAAGAACTGAGAAAGAGGGTCATAGAAGAAGAGCTACGGAACAACCGGACTAAGCGGCGATTGGAAGTCGGAAAACGGCGGAGAACGTTATAAACCGACCAGTAGTTGTAGTAGTATTAAATCCAACAGTAATATAATATATTAATTTTTTTTTACAATAATTTCAATTTCGTTTTTACTAAACATGTGACTAAAGTGTTTCAAAATCTTTTGCTCACTATCAAAGTCTTTTTCTTTAATTATTTTATTTAATTCTACAATCCTTATTCTGCTAGTACACAAATCTTGTTGATTTTCTTCTAATTTCTCTTTTAGTTTTTTGTTTTCTTCAAGCAAGTCCTCGTATTTTCGTTTTAAAATATCTACCTCCGATTCTTTACTTGTACCGGACATAAGACATATCGACAAATAAGGACATAAGACAAATCGATGGTTACAAGATTAGTTTTTTACAATGATAGCTATTTGTGTTTTCATTGGTACTATTTTATCTCTTCTTGCTGTAGGTTCACATTCTGTTTGTTTTAAAACATCTAGAGATTTTTAAATTTTTACTTGGAATTGCTACAAAATAGTGATGATAATAGACAGAATTTCATTAAGTCAACAACAATTACCTCCATCTTTAATTTTAACTTAGGCCTAGTACCAATTATTCGAGCATACAATTCATCTACAAAATCATCATTCTTGAAATGATTACTACTTATATACTCTATTTTATTTTTTACGCTTTAAGCATTTCTATTCGACTAGACTATTTTATAGACTTGTACAGAAAATTTGCACTCTATTACTGTGGTAGCAGGAAAGGTTGAGCGGTCGTCTTTCTGGGGTTTCCAGTGTGCGCTATTATTCTTGGAGTTGTAGCTTTTTCCAGAACGATTCTTTACAAAGTAACATCCCATAATCCTGAATCTTATCCCTTCGAGAAAAATGTTAAAGAATTAGAAAAAAAAACATTTTTTTATTATCAGATGGTTCTTTTTGTATGAAACTTTTTAGTGTTCATTAATAATTCATAACATTATAGTGTAAAGGTTTTTCAAATCATTTTTGTGTCATAAGCTCAAAAAAACTAAATATAATTTGGATAAGACGCACTTTGGAACAACGCAGTGGATAAGACGCTTTTTTGAATAACAATAATGTAGATAAAGGAAGTAGTGTGAACGAATATTTTTATTCGAAACAATAATCTTATACCTAAAACAAATGTTGGCTAAAATAACAATAATGTTATGGTCACATAAGAGGATTGTTTTTCCATTCCGAACCAAAGTGACTTTTTAATAAAATATCAATATCTTTAATTTTGGCATTTTTAATTTGAACTCCCTTTGGCTAATCATACACTACCATTTTTGAAACATTTCTTCCACGTTTTCAGAGACACAATGATTGACAAAGGTAACTACTGTAATATTCTTCTCCTCTTACTTTATTCTTTTTTTCTACAATGATTCGCTTACGGTGGGATTTTTAAAATGCCAAGATTGTACACCTTTGAGACATTCCTTTGCAGATCATCTCCAGTCTCTTATATGACAATTTTCCAATTTATGGACCGTTGCGCTTTCTTTGAAAATTTGTATGTAGGTGTCTGGGTTGGTCATCATCATAAACAGGCAATTTTTAAATATCCTCTTGATCCTGCCAAATACTCTATCGCAGGGTCGAAAAGAGTGATCCCTTACGGGAAAAACCATTTCAATTGTTTTTAAAAAGGGAGGACACTTTTCCTAAAAATTACATTAACATTCCAGTCATAACAGAATTTCGTTTTTGTCTCTAACAACCATCGGCGCACAGTCGTAATTTTTAAATGTTGTTTATATCAGTGGAAGAAAAAATATGAAATACTGCAGACGCAATTTCGTTAGAAATCTTCTAATATTCATGTTCCATGCAGGTAAAAGTAACGACGTTTACGTTTGTTAGGGAATTACGCGAAGTTCCAATAACAACAGAAACATTGTACGTGTAAAGCTGTCTGGTGTACACGCTATTTGATCGGGAATTTTCGGGTTAACTAAGTTTTTCTGACAGTCGTATGAAAATGTCGACATTTAATCACGTTCTTCACGCAAAAAATGAAAAAATTTTGCGCTACGAAGCTTATGTAATCTGTTTTCGACCATAAGTTTATTTCGTATAGTTTTATTATTTTCGTTTTTTATTCTTTCTGTTAGCTCAATGCATCGAGAGCAGGCATCAGTAACTGGAGTGCCAAAGCCAATATTATAATCTTTACAGAAAATTTTTCTGAAAAATTTCGTTTAACTTTTAAATTTTCAGGGCAACTATTGTTATACATTTTCATTAATTTTTTAATGGAAAGTTCACATGGCAAGTACTGTCTATTACTTTTGCTTCTACAATAGTGACTTTCAATACATTTTAAATTTTCTATAAACTGTTTCACGAATCTTCTTTTTTCAGTGTTTTCCTCTCCTAGTACCACCCCTTCTTTCGATAGGCATTTGACCGCTTTTAACGTAACGATTTGCTATTCTTTGAATTCTGCTTTTCGTTAACTGTAAAATATTTAAAAATGCTTTTTGACATATTTGTATCTGAAACTTCTCTGTATTATGAACTTTGACAAAGTAATTTATAGCAATTGTTTTTCTTGAAGAATTCAGTTTCGTGGCTCTGTCACGTTACGGTTTTTTAATACCAATATATTTTAGGGGAAATGCCTCTTGAATTTGTTTGTTTGTTGAAGAATAAAAAGCGGCATGAAATGATTGTAGATAAGTCATTTTAAGTGATTTACATCGAAAAGTTTGATATGATATATAATATAACATTGATATAAGATTGATATAATATATATACAGAAAAAATAATACTTGAATAAATAGTTTTATCGAATTACTACTTATTTATAGCACAGATTTGACAGTAAACTAATAAAACATCTTTACCTGTTATTTTTTTAAGCGTTTTGGATTAGAAACCTTCTTTCTGCCACAACATTTTAGTACTTTTTTATATGCTTCTTCCATAACAGTTTAAAATATTAAACACGCACTTTGCCGATAAGAACAATAATTAGGTTTTACTTCACTAATTAAGTATAAAGAATTACACTGTTTCAATAATAAACAGTAAAATGCTAAAAATCGGAGGCAGTCATTGGTTGAAAGGATCAGGCTCGCTTTGAGATGACATTGCTCGTGGATAACGCACATTTTGAAAATATGCGCAATATTTAGACTTGTTTTACTTGTTTTATATAGAACAAGAAGCGATTTGAATTTTGTTATAATAGTATGTCAAAATCAATGTAACAGCGATATTCAATGCCAACTTAATTTTTATAAAAAATGGATAAGACTCACTTTGGAATGGCTCTACTCATATAAATTGCTGTTGTTTAGAATATCAATCAAATAAAATAAAACAAAAACTATATTTTTATAATATATTTATGTCCACCAATAGAACGTAGTATCCTGTAAAGGGATAATAACACCATCGTTGGCTTCCATGGCTGGCAGTTGAGTGTCAAGTATTATCCACACCAATTTTGTACTTTTCATTTTGGCACATATCAATTATATAACAATTTCATAAATATAAAGTCATGGGTCCAACAGAACAAAAACATAATTTAAATAAAACTTTTTGATAAGTATGAATAATACTTAATATTGCACTTTACGCAATATACAGGATGATTGGTAAAGAATGGGAATTATTTTATCTGCAGATTTTACACAGGAAAATATGATTTTGTTCCGAATAACTGGGGTCAAATTAATTACATGGTTATAAAAATAGTTAAATAGTATGATTATATTTCATTATTTTCATACAAACTTTCTATGAAAAATAATTTAATTTGTATGAAAGTAATTTATTGAACGAAGTGTATGATAATTAATTTTTTACGTTTTTTTTTTGAGTGATTTAAGCGTTTTCAAGATCGCCGAGAAGACGACTCACGCCAAGATCGCCCATTGAAGTCAAAATTGGATGAAAATATCGAACAAATCGTATTCGTGTGATTTGTGATACTGTGGAAAAAACCTGGGAAGGTCAGAACCACCTGATCTATCGAAAAGGCGATGGCGACTTTTTTTATGAAAAATGTGTTATTTACATAATTATTTGTAAAAAAATACTGCAATAATTCGCGTCTACTATGCAGGTCTATTGAATTTTTTCGGTGCGGACGGTTTTTGGGCTGACAAAATTATACATTGGGATCTCAATTGATCGACTGATCACCAGATTTAATCCTGTGTGACTACTTTTATTTCTAAACTTAAAAAAAGACTCAGAGAATGCCGTTTTACAACTAACGATGATGTAATAAGTATTTAAAACTATATTGTTCTGAAGCTATTTATTAATATTTTTCTGAAGTAATTTACTGTTTGTATTTTGATAACGATTTCCGAAGTGGAAATTGAAACGTCAATAAACGTATTTTTATCTTTAATTGTGGTTTATTCCCAGTTAAATAGTAATTTATTTAAAACTATATAATGGAAGTGTGGAAGCTAGGATAACTGAAAGGATAACAATGCTAGTGAATTATTTGTGTAACTTTAACTTATTGTATCTAATACTGGACCCCATAAAACTCGTCATGCACAAACATCGTCAGACACAAAGAATTCCAAAATACTCGCTAGGTCTAAAATTGTGAGTCAACAACTGTAAATCAACAATTGTGTAATATTGGCAACTACGCCCAGTTTTTAACAAAAAAATTAATATTTTCTCGAATAGAATCTGTAGATAAAATAATACCAATTTTTTATTAATAACCCCGTACAATTGTAGGTCCTATGCCAATGCATATAGTTTCTTTAATTATTTAAGTGTATTCTGTAACATATGGCATTATTTCTATAGAGTTCTTCTAAGTTCTTCCAGCTAAAATAAGAAAAAAATATATTATAATCAAAATTCACTAATGTATTTTGCTTCTAAATGCAGCATATTAAATATTTTCCACAGTGCTATTATGCAGAACGAATAGTAGGAAAATACTAGGCTGATTTCAGAGGTGATAAATCGACAATTCATCAAATTGTAACCCTGAGACAAATTTTAGAAAAAACACTGGAATATGGCATAGATACTCATCACATATTTATAGATTACAAAGCAGCCTACGACTCTGTGAGTAAAAGAGAGATGTTCAAAGCACTGAAAGAGCTAGGAATACCAAATCAGTAGGTAAATGTAACAAAACTAACTCTTGCAAAAGTTGAATGTAGAGTACGAATTCAGGGGGAACTGTCTGAAACTTTTAAAACAAATAACGGGCTGCGCCAGAGACCCTCTCTCCTGTATACTGTTCAATCTGGCTCTGTAAAAAGTAATACGTATGTCAAAAATCACAACCATTCGTTCAATATGTAACAAATCAGTGCAAATTATTGCCTATGCAGATGATATCGATATTGTTGGGAGAACGGAAAACGCTGCACCTGTGAGAGGCATATGTAGCATTAAAAGAATCAGCCAGAAAAATGGTTTAATAATAAACACCAACAAAACGAAGTATATGAAAATAAGTACAAAACCACAAAATTCTACGACCACTTGTTATAGAAAACGACGTCATTGAAGCTGTGAACGAATTCGTTTACCTGGGAAGGCTTCTTAACACTGAAAATAATACTACCGCAGAGATAAACCGCAGAATTTGCATGGTCAACAAATGCTATTTTGGGCCCAATCTCCTCCTTAAATCCACAATTATATCGAGAAATACATAAATAAAACGAAACAATAATACGCCCAGTCCCAACATATGGTTCAGACCTAGACTCTAACCAAAAAGTAATGAAAACATGTTGGGATGTTTCGAAAGAAAAGTACTAAGACGAATCTATGGAGAAGTGAATGACAATGGAGTGTGGAGAAGACGATACAACTTCAAACTTTATAGAATATACCAGGAATCGGATATCGTAAAACATATTAAGATAGAACATCTGAGGTGGATAGGACATGTAATGTGGATGGAACAAAATGACCCAGATAGAAAAACGCTCCTTGATAGACCCATTGGTCAGAGAAGAAGAGAAAGACCCAGAACAAGGTTCATTTAACCCATCGATAAAGACATGAGAAATATGGGAATACGTACATGACGGAGGAAGACGATGAATATTGACGACTGGAGAGAAATTTCGGAGGAGGCTAGGACCCACGCATGGTTGTAAAGCCAGAATGACTTAAATGTTTAGACTTAAAATTTTTTATTTAACGGTATTAAACGAATTCCTCTTTTCTTTCGTGTTTTTTCTTTTCTATAGTGAGATATTGATGTTATAAACGTTATTTACAATGGGAATATCAAGTAATAAAAGCCAATCTATGGAAGTCCCTACAGTATACAGTTTGATATATTGTTAACGTCACCACTTTTCATGATACATCTATTACACTTACCTCTGCTTCCGAGTCCACAGAATCTCCTTCGTCATCAGATCCATGCACCGAAGCAGCTGGAGTCGTTACTTTACTGGAACTAGGAGATGGTGGCTCGGAAATGGGTCTGGGATATTTGAATTCGAGACCGTATTCCATTTCTTCTTTGTAGTCCGGAAATACTTTGTGCAAGGCTTTCATCCGCGCTTGACGATAGTACTACAATTGAAAAATATTTTATAATTATATACTAATATCAGAAAAAGAAATAGGTATTATGTGTGGTTGGAAGTCCAAAAAAGTCACGCAGGAAATATACATCTTGTAATGCAGCAAATATTAAATATTCTATAATATCTGCCACAGTTTATAGACCGAGAGCTGGTAGACAATTCATTCAAACTTGTCAACAAGCTCTCCGTCTTTCGCCGGAACCTGGTCGACAAGAACTTTTTCCTCACGACCATTTAAAAGCATAACATTCAATACAGTGTTAAATCGTATATATTTAGTTCTTTGAATACCGATAAATATGTCGATGCGAATGCCTAGACGATAATGAATCACATCAGCATGTAACGATGTGCTGAACGTCCTACAGTAACAGCGTTCAACAGTTCGAACTGTGGGAGTGTCGATAATCACGCATCCATTTCCACGACAAGACGACGAGGTGGGGTCTGGAGCGACTATTTAAAGCCAGCGGCTGGCGGAGTTAAGGAGGGTCTTGTGGCTAATGCTCTAGGCTCCCTGGCTTGCTAGTACATTGAATCTGCGAGCCAACCCGGACAGAGAGACTTCCGCAGTGAGGATTATGCTCTGTCCTTAATCAAGCAGAACCCGTGGGTATAGTGGATCGAACGTTACCGTCAACTCTGACTCAGAGTATAACGTGCATCTGCACAATCGAATATTTTGATTGCGAGAGCGTTTGGCGCTTCCGCTGGACTGAGGTGGAAGCGAGTATAAGTCTGCGTGCGATCGAATTCGCGTATTTCATTTTCTGATAGTAATAATAATTTTTCTTTTACAGACGTCTGCCGGGGAATGCACTCTCGCGGGATCCAGGCGGGGATATAGAATATATTTTATTTTTATTTTTGTACATACGTTAGAATTAATAGATTTATTTTTATTTCAACCTGTGTTCTACTGAGTCTGTCGCCTCGAAAGAGCTACCCGTCACAAACATTAACGGACAATTTTGAGCGGTCTATTTCACATGATTTTTCTGTTAAGTAATTTAAAGCCCAGACATCATTCTGCCCCAATATTTTTACGTTTGCAAGGTTTCCAGGCCGACGGTTTTGATTCTGGAGAATTTTAGACTGTATGATTTTCAAGTCACACGATTTTTGCCAAAATTTTTTTCTGTCCAATGGAATTTCGATCTACTTACTAGTAAGGCCTCCCAAAAATCGTAAAGAACTTTTTAAATCAGCAACTACAGGTTCACTTAGATAAACATAAAATTCTGCCAGAACATCAGTCCGGTTTTAAAAAGGATCACAATTGCACTAGTGCACTTTTAAAAATAACTGATGACATATTTGGTGGTTGCGATAATGGCTTAATTACAGTGCTGATTCTTTTGGATTATTCCAAAGCTTTTGATACGCTTGACCATTCTCTGTTGATTTCAATGTTTAAGTATGTTGGTATGTCTAAGCAGGCATCTGATATGCTAATCAGTTATCTCAATAATAGAAGTCAAGCTATTAATTACAATGGTAATACATCGAACTATCTTAAAACAAATAAAGGGATACCACAGGCTCTATATTGGGTCCTAAATTATTTAGTATATATACTTCAAACTTTCCTGCTTATTTTCTCTCCTGTAATCAGCACTATTTTGCTGATGACACTCAGATCTATTTATCCTTTAAGACTGATGAGTTTAAACAGGCAGTGGCTGCAATCAATTATGATTTAGAAATAGTTTCTCAATTTTCTTTTGACCATTGTCTTCGTCTTAATAACAATAAATCTGTAGGTATAGTTTTTGGTCCAGTGACACAAAGAGAAATATTTCTGAGATATTTTGCTCATATGATCACCATTGATAATTCTTCGATAGAATTTAAGGCAACTGTCAAAAACTTAGGCTTACATATAGATCAAAACTTAAGAAATGGTGGTCATATTGACAAGTGCTTGCAGACAAGTTATGTAAATTTGAAATTTATATTCCAATCTCGTCATATATTGACTAAAAATTGCTTAAAAAATTGCTGTGTCATACCTTGGTGTTATCACACTTTAATTATTGTGATACTATTTATAATTCATGTATTACAGAACGTGATAGTTAGCGTATACAAAAAATGCAAAATTCTTGCCCTCGTTTGATACATGGTATCCGTAGAAATCAACCAATTAAAAACAAACAGTTACAAACTTAAAGAAACAGGTTGGTTAAGTATGAAACTCAGACGATGTTTTCATTTAGCTTGTCAATTCCAAAAAATTATTAATTTTAAAACCCCATCTCTATAATATCATATATCTCTATAATAAAATAAAATTCCGTACTTATGTACATAATATTAACATTAGACATAAAAACACCATTTCTATCCATTATCATCTTACACAGAATTACTATAAGCGAATCTTTACATATTATATAGCCCAAGTTATGAATAATTATACGACTGCTCTCAATTTTACTCAAAACAAATTTAAAAAATTTGTTTTTGAAAAATTACGACATATCTCATAGATAGGGTTTGATAACATACATAATTATGAGTAGAACTTACATTTAGGGCGCATATTAATTAAATGCTAGATTAAATTATTTTTATATTTTCCTTCTTCTTCAGGTGCCATCTCCCCTACGGAGGTTGGCAATCATCATAGCTATCTTAATTTTTGAGGCAGTAGCTCTAAATAGTTGTTTTGAGCTGCATCCAAACCATTCTCTCAGGTTCTTCAGCCATGAAATTCGTCTTCTTCCGATGCTTCTTCTGCCATCTATTTTTCCTTGCATTATGAGTCGCAGGATGCCATACTTATCGCCCCGCATCACATGTCCGAGATACTGTAGCTTTCTTTCTTTAATTGTAAGTTCAATTTCCTTCTCTTTGCCTATTCTTCTCAGTATTTCATTGTTTGTAACTCTGTCTACCCAGGAAACCCTCATAATTCTTCTATAGGTCCACATTTCAAAGGCGTTAAGTCGTCTCATGGTATCTAGATTTAACGTCCATGATTCCACTCCATAATATAGTACACTGTATACGTAACATTTTGTTAGGCGTACTTTAAGAGCTAATGTTAGATCTTTGCCACATAGGACCTTTTTCATTTTTATAAAATTAGAACGTGCTTTTTCGATTCTGACTTTGATTTCTGCCGTGTAGTCATTATTTTCTGTTATAAGTGTTCCTAGGTAAGTGTACTTTTTTACTCTTTCGATCTGCTGGCCCTCTACTATCAAGATTTCGTTAGTATTATAGTTGTTTTTACAAATTTTCATAAACTTCGTCTTTTTGACATTAAGAGAGAGTCCGTACTCCCTACTACACATGACTATTTTGCTCATGAGTCTTTCCAGGTCTTGTAAACTATCGGCTATTATTACTGTATCATCTGCATATCTGATGTTGTTAATTAAGACTCCATTTACTCTTATGCCGACTGTTTCATCTTCCAGAGTTTCTCGAATTACCTCTTCAGAATAGGCGTTAAATAATAGAGGTGATAGAATGCAGCCTTGCCTGACTCCTCTCTTTATTTCCATTTCTTCAGATGTTTCTTTTTCGATTCTTACTATTGCTCGCTGATTGTAATAGAGGTGTGTTATTAGCCTTAAATCTCTTTCATCTAGGTTTTTATTTTTTAGAATTTCCAGGAGTCGATCATGTTTTACTTTATCAAACGCTTTATTGTAGTCTATAAAACAGACGTAAAGAGGACGGTTAACATCCAAACATCTCTGTGTCAGCACATTGAAGGAGAATAATGCCTCTCTGGTACCCATACCATTGCGGAACCCATATTGAGTGTCACTAATATCCAGCTCCAGTTTAGAGTGTATTCTGGCGTGGATAATTTTCAAGGTATGTGACATTAAGCTTATGGTTCGATAGTCACTACACTCTTTGGCATTCACTTTCTTTGGCAAACACACAAATGCTGATGTCAACATTTCTCTAGGAATGATTCCCGTAGTATAGATAGCGTTGAACAGTTCTACTATTATGTCCAGGTTTTTCTCGTTGACCAACTTTAGTAGCTCGCTTGGTAATTCATCTGGACCAGCAGATTTATTGGTTTTCATTGAGTTTAATGCCTGACTAACCTCTGATTTGGTTATCTCTGGACCTACATCTCCCGTTTGGCTATCTACAGATGTACTAGCTTCTCTCTGGTCATGAAATAATTCTTCGATGTACTCTTTCCATCGTCGTAGTTTTTGTTCTGTTTCCAATATAATATTTCCATTTTTGTCGAGCAATATATTTTCCTACATTTATTTAAACTAAAATTTATTTAATTTACATTTTGATTTCGTTTTTATATAAATATTAGTACTATTAATTGGTTACAATTCTAGATATTTTTTATTTGTTTGCCCAAGTTAGCTGAACAGACAGGATATGTCAGTGCTTCGCACTGTAAATTTCCTGAACTGAAACTCGCCTGCAGCTTTTTAATATTAATTTATGTAAATAATATTATGTGATGAATAAAGGCCTTTATTATTATTATTATTATTATTATTTGTCCCGACTTTACTCTACTATTGCAATTGTACCAATGAGGGTTCAATATACTTATGGAATAGTAATGCATGTATTCGATATTTCAACAAAACTATAAAATAGGAGACTGAATAGCAATCACTAAAATTAGTAATAATATTTCACAGTTTTACATACCACTCCCAAGTTCCTCCAGTCCAAAAGATCGCTAAGTCTTTCAGTACGATTCCTTTGAATTATCCTTTGTCTTCTACTGAGCCTAGCGAAGTCGTACATATATTGAGCCAACTGTTTGACGGAATCTTCGAGACCGATGTATCTACGGTCCACTATGTAGATTCCATAGGACATAGGGTCCATGATATGTTCCTGCATGAAACATCCAAAACCTGAAAATCAAAAAACTACGTATGACATCACCTTGAGTATAAATTTGTATTATTAATACACGGTATTGGGAAAGAAAAATCCTAAGGAAGATATTTGGTCCTGTGCTGGATGAAGCTCAGGACAATATACGATAAGAACTAACAAGAGCTCGAAGAACTCTACCCAGACGCCAACATCATAAAAGAAATAAAGTCCAGAAGACTCCAATGGGCAGGACACCTCAGAAGACATTCTGACGAACGAACAGTAAGACTGGTGTGGGAGGAAGTTCCAACTGAAAAGAGACCACGCGGACGGCCTCGTCTCCGGTGGCGAGAAATATAGCAGGAGACCTAAGAACTATGATCGTGGAGAATTGGATGGAGGTTGCTCAAGACAGAAAACAGTGGAGGCATGTTGTCGAGTCGGCTAAAACCTACGAATGGCTTTAACACCACGGAGTAAGTAAGTAAGGTATTGATATCAATAGATTTAAATTGGGCTGAAAAAAAATTTGATCCAAATGTCACTGTGTTCATTCGTAAAAAGTACGAATCGTTCCAATTTTTGTGTCTACTTGACTGTTTAGGGAAACTCTACGAGAATCTTGTCAAAAATCGACTTGAAGACGAGTTGAGGGAAAAAGACATCATCTCAACTAGACAATACGTATTCAGAAAAGCAAAATCAGTTGTAGATGCGGTTAAACAAATCACCGATACTGTCAGGACTACAAGGAAAAGATGGGCCGTTTTAATAATGTTTGATGTGAAGAAACGTTGAGGATTACAGATATACTTACTAATACTAATATTCTATTAAAAAGAGGATAAAATATCGAAAATGAAATTTACCTAGCATACAGTGGTAACATCTACAAAGAATTCTCCAATATATACGCACGATTGTTTTCACTTAGAATATACTTTACTACACAATATACTTTTTGATTTATTTAGTTGGTTTCAATATAATACTGCACATTTTGGTGAAAGTCGAATCTACCTCTGAGAACCGGTTAGTTTGGCTAGAATCAACGAAAACGTTGGTTGTAGGTTACAATTGGTAGTTATTAAATCTTACCTGATAAATTTGTAGTGATGCTTGGAATACCCATTACGGTACACTCGGCAGGAGTGTATCCCCACGGTTCATAATAACTGGGAAACACGCCTAAGTGGCAACCCCTTACGAACTCTTCATAATCGAGACCGAACAGTGGATTCGTAGAACTAAGGAACTCAGGATGAAAGACAATCTGAAACAAACGAATAAGAGGATATTATTTAGATGAAACTGTATGATTTCGTGGATATTCTAATTATATTCAAAAGACCGCTTCGGAGTAAAATATACAATGAACCTCACTAAAATACATGTTATAAATTTGTTCTATATTCATTATAAAACTTACAAAAACCTATACCTTCAGATTAAATGTTGAAACCTGTTAGTGAGTGTACAATTTAGATAATCAGAAAATGGATATTCTAGTTTTCAATAATTCATGGATGGTTTTTGGACGGTTACTATAGTTTGATTTGCTGGACCACAGAAAAAAATTAGGTAACCATCGGTCTGGCGATCGTTGAGGCCGGAGTCTCTGTGAAACTATAATATTGCCAAGAAAATCACGGCTGCACCTTCTTGTTGTGATACCATAATTTTCAAATTTAGCTAATAATATCCCATGCTTTTGTAGCATTTGTAAATTCCTTGTATGTATTGAAATCCCCTCGTATATGTTAAAACACCGAAGACAATGTATTTCATTTCCTATCCTACGTATTAAAATAATTGATGGATTCGACAGTAACTTGATGGAAATTCATTTTATGTAACAATAAAACCCTGAAAACTTTGTTTTCAAACTTCCACAAAATTTATTTTAACTTATCACTACAGCTGTTTCGGCTGATTGCCTTTATCAAGTGATCTATTTTTGGCATGCGTTTACATTTTATAGTCTCTAATGAAATAGGTTGAGGAGGGGAGAACTGTTTGTCTCAAGTTGGTCATTCAGAATTAAATCTGTGTTTTTTAATTTGTTGATTGCCATAGATTCTGACAAGGATAGCTTAAGGCCTTTATTTTGAATGTCAAGAATTTCAGCGAGATCACTCTCGCTGAGGCCGGTGTCAAGAGCGGTTGGCTTCAGAGTTGGTCCAAATTTCACGTCGAATTTGTAATGTTTTCTTGTCTTTCGTCCCTTTTTATGGAAAATATGTAGTGAGCAGTTAATAGTTACAGTTTCAAGTGAGGTTTGAAATGGTGGCCGTTGTAAGCAGTCGTGTTTAATTGAGTCGGTCAAGAACCAAGCAAATTTGTCGAAGAAAAAGTGATTTATAATCAAAGTAATATGTCACTTCAGATCAGAGTAATCACTATTTTCTTTTGTCTGTAAGCCGTTTCTCATATGAGATATTTGTAACACGGCGATTACAACAAATTTGGTAAATACCCACTTTTTCCATTTTTTTTATGAAGCCGAATTCAAAGGTTTACGTTTAGTGCCAATTCAACTCCATTTTTGTTTGGCCCTGGTCGTCGTTTCAGACTATAGATGCAGTTTTTTGTAAGTGTGTCAGAGATTTCAAGTACAGTTCCTACACCCAGAAATTTTAGTAAGTCCAGTTTACAACTCAAGTGCATTTTAGTGAAACCCAGGTAATTTTTGTGCTTGAACTTTTTTTCTAATAATAATAATTGCTTTCATAATAATTTAAATTGTAATAATTAAATTTATATGTCTTAGGGCGTGGTCTAGCTGTCATATTATTTGTTTTGTTTTTAAATTCAATATTGACATGTGACAGCTAGTGTAATTTTTTGACATCAGTTTGTTTTGTTTTTAGAAAAAGGTTAACTTTTATGAATAGTTTCATTTAAAAGATATTTCTGTAATTTGTAATAATTTATTTCTGCCACAGATTAAAGCTCAGTAACATTTGTAAGTATTGTAGTACCTCCCACTTGAAAACAGATAGGCCATAGTAAGTGTTTCTCTTTGTTATTGTATTTATTTTTTTTTGTAACTATTAATATATGAGAAATGGGACATAGTAAGTCTGTTTTTGATATTTTTGTATTATCTATATTTGTAACTGTTTGTGGTGAGACAGTAATCAATGTTTGATTTTTTTTCCTAAACTATTTTGTTTATTTATTTTAGACAAGTCTCTCCTCCTAGCCTCTCTTATGTGTTTTTTAGGACGGAAGAACCTTTTCTTTCATCCAGCAGGAAATTTCATCGAAGCGGCGTCCATTTTAAATAGCTAGAGGTCCTTCTTATTGTTTTGTATGCCTATTTGTCCAGGAGATTCACATAAGTACCGTCTTTTTGTTTCATTTTTGTAGTTGCCCAATCCGACCCCATGCCATTCACTTTGATAAATCAGTATAAATGACATCAACTTTCTAACCCTTCTCCCTAGAATTCGTTATATAACGGAGAAATTTAGTAGATTGACTTGTGTTGCCATTGTGTTCGGTTTCTGGCGTTCTTCGCGGTCCTGCTTCTTCTTCCTACTGGTGTTGCTGTGATAAGCTTTTCAACAATCGTGTCAGCTCATGTAAGTCGCTGTGTTTTAATGAACGTTACGACGCGACGGCTGATTCATTAAAGGGTTGGTATAATTTAAAGATATATGCCTGATATTTTTATTTTTCCATATTGTTTCATTTAGGCAGCCTGCGTCTCTGTTTGCTCTATTCACTTGATCTTCCACTTCAGTTTAGAACTTTCCGTAGCTAGATAATGTGATGCCTAGATATTTAAACTCCATCACTTGTTCTATTATCTGACATTCCAGCTCCAATTTACATCTTTTACATCATTTACATAATTTACTTTGCTGTTGTAACCATGCATTTTGTCTTTTTTGAGCAAATTAACATGTTAAATTTTCTGGCGGTTATATTAAATTGGTGCAGCATACGTTGTAAATCATCTTCACTTTGAGATAGTAGTATTGCGTCGTCTGCACAGATTATTTTAAGTTATTTTTCTCCCATTGGGTATCCTGTTTTAGTTCTTACTTTTTTTATTATTTCATCCATAATCAGGTTAAACAATAGAGGACTCAGGGAATCTCCCTGTCTTATTCCATTGTCAGCTCCAATATTGTCGGTTAGTTCTTCTTCTACTGTTAATTTTTTTGTGTTGTTTTGGTAGATATTTTCGATCGTTTTGATTATTCCTAGAGGTATCTCCTTGCGTACAGTAAGTGGATAACGTCTTTTAATTTGACCCGGTCAAATGCCTTCTTAAGGTCCACGAAACATAGATATGCCGGTTTGTTGTGTTCTAATGATTTCTCTTGCACTTGCTCCATTATAAATATAGCGTCGGTTCATGATCTTTCCGACCTAAAACCTTGTTGTTCTTGTGCTAGTATTATAATTTCATTCAGTTTATTTGTTTTCACTTTGGTTGTTAATTTTATTGTTGTGTTTAATAAATTAATTCCTCTGTAATTTTTCTAGTCCGATTTCTCTCCCTTTTTGAAGAGAGGTATTAGGATGCTTGATCTCCACTGCTGAACACTGCCTGGGGTCATTGCGGGGTGGATTGAGTAGCTCTGTCGGTCCCAAGCCGGAATAAAATGTGGAGGGTGATCGGCAAGGTTAGCAACCTACCAATCGTAAAAACAAATACTGCTCAAAGAAACAATGTACAGCCTCGGAACCGGATTGATACTATGAATGTCGATATAAAATTAACGTTATCATCACCTGTGCATCATCATCACCTGTGCGCCTCATAAACAGCTACATTGTCTTGATGGAAGAGAATTAATTCTTTTATGAGTTCAACCAGAACTTTTTTTCTTAAATTGCTCTCAAGTAATTAATGTGAATAATACCTTTGATATCCTAAAAAACAGTCGCCATCATCTTTCCGACTCCTCGCCAGTCTTCACCTTCTTAGATGGGTCTTCCCCCACGCACCGTCACGCATCGGCGAAAAAAATTGATTGATATGCGTTTTATATATGACAAGATTCTTGGAATATGACAAAACTATTCATTTTGGTCATATCCACACGTTATACGATGCGCCATGACTATCATATATATTATGACCATGACTTTGTTCATGATTACTGTTAGGACTAGGAATGAGATCAGCTCTTCAAAATTTCAATGTTTCTAACGACAGTGTGTAGTCGCCACAAATAACAGCAGTTCAGTTTTCATTTTTGTGTTGTTTTTCTCTTTCTAGGGAAGATAACTAAACGATATACGGTTCTTCTTCCTTTTTTTAACAAAAACACAGATATAGCTCGCTTTTGACGACTAAAAACATAACTAATTGTTGTTTTTGCTTAACATTTAGACAGCTGTCATGCATTGAATGATATATGTCAAATCCGAGACCAAATTATTTCTCACTTACCGCCATCTATTGAAGGCTATTTTGATATTATAATAGAACGTGCATTGAATATTGGTTCTCTTCTTTAAAACGATATATTAGTTTAAAGATATTTGTTTTTACCTTAATCTATAACGTGTCTTAACTTTAATGTTGATTAAGGTTAACATTCAGATTTTTACTCACTTTAACTCTGTCGTGTGTAGTATTGAATAAACTGCACCTCCTGACTGAATTTAGGACAGGATCGTTCCAATCGTCTTGCACATTGTGTGTAGTGACTGGCGGTAGACCGTCCCGTTGTAAAGAATAAATACATCTCTTCAGTCTGACCAATTCTTCTTTTTCTAACAAGTCGTTACCATCTGGTAATCGGCCACTGAAAATACGAAAAAACTAGATATGAGAATCACATTACCCGTGTGGAATGCCAATACAGTAATAATACGTAAAGTAATAGTAATTAAAATGAAAAAGGCAGCAAATATTTGATTTCACGCAAACAGCGCCTATGTATCTGTTAAAACGTATTTCGACCTAATAGGTCTCATAAGAACAGTTATTCATAGGTGTTCTCAACGTGAAAAATCAATATTTTCTGTCTTTTAAGAAGCAACACTAAAATGGCTTCAATACGGACGCAATAGCGACATCTAATAATAAAATCCGTAAAATAGTTTCGAAACACAATTCAGATTTCTGCTTATAATCTGAAGGTAAATGGAATCCCCATTAACAACATTAGATATGCGGACAACACTGTGATCTTAGCCGAAAATATTGAAGATCTTCAGAGACTGGTGACCAGAATAGCAGAGTATGGAAAAGAGTATGGTCTAACAATGAATGTCAAGAAGACGAAATTTATGAGAATATTGAAAACTCAAAGAAATAACGAGAATCCTATAATAAACGGAACCAACGTCGAATAAGTGGGCAAATGTGCATATCTGGGAACAATGATTAACTATACAAATGATTACATTTGTGAGATCAAAATCAGAAGAGAAAAGGCTAGAACAAATTTCAACAAAATGAGAAGAGCGCTATGTACAAGGGATTTAAAATTGGAACTAAAAATTAGGTTGACGAGGTGCTATGTTTTTTCGACTTAATTTTATGGAATGAAATTTTGGACCTTGAATGCGACATCAATGAAAAAATTGGAATCATTCGAGCTGTGGGTGTATAGAAGGATTCTGAAAATATCGTGGAGAGAACACGTCACAACCAAAGAGGTTATGAGAAGGATGAATAAAGAAATAGAAATTTTAAATACAAATAAAACAAGAAAATTGGAATATCTCGGACATATTACACGTGGAGAGAAATACGCCTTGCTCCAACTGATTATGGAGGGAAAGATCCAAGAAAAAAGAAGCATAGGGAGAAGTAGAATATCATGGCTGCGCAACCTGAGGGAGGGGTGCGGATGTACTTCAAATGAACTTTTCAGAGCAGCCGTCTCAAGAGTCCGAATACCTGAGGATTGCCGACATCCGCCGCGGAGATGGCATTTGAAGAAGAAGAAGAAGATATTATAGGATGTTAAAAATTTTACATAGAATTTACTCCATGGCAATGTATCACTACCAAACTGATATTGCTAGCCTTAAGACATAGTCACTTTGGGTCTTACGTTGCCATGAAATGAATTCTGTTGAAAATTTTAACATCCGTATACCATGTGTACCGAGTAAAAGCACTGATGATGGAATGGTCATTTCGAAAACGTTATGTGATGTAGCCCTAAAAGGTTCTTTTAAATAAATATACCTTTTTATAAAGGATTTTTTAATTAAACATTTTTTTAGATTTATAGTATAAAGCGGACTACATAACATTCATTTTCCTTGTGAATTTTAAGTCATAGATATTATATTGGGTTGGTTTATGTTTATGATTTATTGCATTTTTTACTCTAATATGAATATCAAATTGATACTTACTTCAAACAACGCTCATACATCCGTTTTCCGATTTTATTTTGAATATCATTGATAGTATCTCTCAAAGCTTTAGTAACTGCGTGTCCTCTAAGAGATTCTACGTTGAAATTATTCGTTTTTGCCGGGAAAATCATGAAAGCTACCACAGTGATGTCTGGATGGGTGCTCTTAAATACAAAATTATAGTTATAAATAATAAACAGGCGTTTAAAATAAAACAAACAAAAACTTTATGCGTAACAGAAAGAAAATATGTATATTGTACCTTTAAATAGTGGTTCAGTCTGGCTAAAGCTTCAATGAAAATATCAGCCCCTTTATTACCGAATTCGTAGCGTCCAGCAATGAAAAAGTATAACGTTTTGTCCAAGTCAAAGTCGTAGTGTCCATAGAAGTGGCCTCGAACAAATTCGTGTATTTTATCTTTGGAAAGAGCGTGGAGATTTTGAAATTCGTGAAGAGCCGAGAACTTTTTAACATTGAGACCATTCGGAGTTATAACGTCAGGTTTTCTCTTTAATAAATGTTCGGCTTCATAACCTGAAATAGTTATTTTGTAGTTTTACTGATGGATTTTTGATCAACAATCCAAATTATTTGTGAAAACATAAAAGTAACCAACTAATGGCTTCTACTTTATGTGGAAAGCAAAACCAGTAACAATAGTTTTTTATTATTATTAATTTGATTGTCGATGATTCTGGTGGTAATTTTTATGTTTTCTAATCCTTTAAATAATTTAATAAGTTTCGGTGTTAAAAAAGATCCAAAAGTTTGTGGTATTGTTGGTATTAAGGTTTTAATTGTTTCGCTATTGTTTATTTTTTGGATTGCCGTTTTTACTTTGATTTGTTGTTTGTTGTTGGTATTGCCAATCAATGTTACGGAGGCTGGAGAGTTTGCAGTACTAAAAATTATCATTATCACCAATCATTTGCAATAATGCTCTTGATGATCTCATTGAGAAATGTTTAAAAATAATACCTTGTTATATTCCATTTGTTAAACGTTTTGTAGATGATTTGATCCGAGCTGTACCTAATGACAAAATAACTGAGGTCTTAAATATTTTTAACAACCAATGTAGCCAATTACAATTCACTGCAGAAAGAGAACAAAATAACAGTCTCCGTTGTCTAGATATGAATGTCCATCGCACACATGACAATAGTCTCAAAACAGAATGGTATCGAAAACCGATTTCTAGCAATAGATTCATAAATTACTATTCGGAAAATCGTACAAAAATGAAAATAAACTTATTTTGGGACTGAAAAGCAGAGTAACCAAGATATCTCATCCATCATATAGAGAAAATAGTTTAAAGAGACTAAAAAACATACTAATGTAAAACTCTTATCCCGTAGGCCTACTCAATAAATTAATTTTTAGTACTGCAAACTCTCCAGCCTCCATCACATTGATTGGCAATACCAACAACAAACAACAAATCACAGTAAAAACGGCAAACCAAGAAATAAACAATAGCCAGACAATTAACACCTTAATACCAACAACACCACAAACTTTTGGATCTTTATAATTTTTATTTATTATTTCTAACCCATTCGTCTTTTCTAGATCATACACCAGCCGGCAGAAATTTCAGGTAAAAACTAACGGGTCTCCTACGATTCGAAGTTTCCAGAAGAAGGTCGAATGAAAACCAGTCCAGGTGACCTTCTAGTCTGTTCGAAGGGAATTCCCGGAATTCTAGTGTAAGGGTTGATTAGTATAAATAGAAATTTTATTATAGTTTATTCGTCTTCCGGGTTTGGACCGTGTCATTTATGAGTGACCCAAAAGTGGGTTCATCTCGACGTTTCGCTAAAATTGTATGTAGCTTCTTCAGGAGAACAAAGAAAAAGAAATCAAAAGACAGGAAAATGGGTAGTTAGCAACGGTAACTCAGTTACTCAACGCAACCGGAGGCGAATACTAACTACCAAGATGGGCATTTGGTCACAGTAACTCAACTACTTAACGCAGCCAGAGGTGAAAACCAAATGCCAGGACAGGGATTCACGTACAACAGCTCAGAACACTAACGCGTCGAGAGGCGGGGAGTGAATCCGAGGAGAGGCGGGGATTCACTCGTATTTATTGTTACATATTAACATATCAATTGACATAACATTATAATCTCATTTTCTATCGACATCATTGGAAAAATTCATATATGCTTAAGCTAAACTGACTGGACTAATCTATTTTTCATTGACAATCAAATTAATAATAATAAAAAACTATTGTTACTGGTTTTACTTTCCACATAAAGTAGCTGTATATTCATTCATATATGTATATTAGTTAAGCCAACATGACATTTATATTAGACATTTTATATGTGTAATGGTGTTTTTTAAAGTACAGCTTTTTCAGTAATCTCACGACTAGTAAGAAAATTAATAATTATAACTAAATAATTTTTATATTTATTTGTTAACAGATGTCTTGAAAAAGAATTAAAATAAATTCGAAAGCTTGACATTAAGTCAAAGAGTTTTCTTTGTCTTGTGGGCCAAATAGACTGCATCCTCAAGAATTACCACTTGATATTTTGTATTATGTGTTCATTGTTTGTTTCAAGTTTGTTTTAACTTTTGGTTTTGGATTAAAACTAAGACTTTAAGACTGTACTGTGGCCTGATGATGGGGTATATATTGTAAGCCTCGAAACTGATAACCTACAATTTTATTGCAATAAAAACTACCTAAGATTGTGAGAATTTACTATCTCCCATACACCAGGATTATGGACTCACATTGGCAACCTTTTTATCATTTATATATAAAATATTTGATCATATAATGTAAAAATATAAAAACTTCTAGATGTTCAAAATATTACCTGTAATTTCAGATACGGTTGTGAAACTGTGAGCCAGATGAGATGCTGCCCTTTCTATACAATATCGGTGATAGATTTGCCTTTTTCCAGCCTCTTCGTCAACACTAAACTAAAAAAAAATAAATAGACCATTATTTAAATGTCGAAGTTTTGTTGCTAGCAAAAAGCAACTTTGCACCAAAAATATTCTTTTCATGTTTGTATTTCACGTCATCTATGCAAAGTTGGTCAGGTGACCCCTCTCGATTCGGCTTACATTTTACAGGCGTACTCTATACTATAAAAAAATATGATGATTTACCAAATTTCAACCTTCTAGGTCGAAAATAGCGGTCTATATTGGTAATTCAATTTTTCCAACAAAAAAAAAAAGCAAAATATAATAACAATATCGTCGCCTTAATTGGAAAACCATTTACCAAAATTATATTTTTATTTTTTTTGAAGGAAAACCTCGTCTTTCACCTAGAACAGCTGCCAGAAACAAAAATGCTGCAAAAAATAACAAAAATTTTTACGCAAACGCTCCTACAAATAAATACAATGCCGTCTATGAAGCCAAATGTGTTCATGTTGGGTTTCGGTCAAATGTAAACATCATAGAGGCGTGTCGGGATTCTTTGATATTACACTATTTTATTACTTTATTAGGTACTACAACTGTAATAAAAAGAAATATACTATTTTTAACATAAATGAAAAGAAATTGGCAGAACGATGGCGTAGAAACCAGAAAAAGAATCTAATCTTTGTTAGTTTTAAATATTTGTTTGCTTTGAGTGGATGTGCTCTTAAAAGTTCGGAAAGTAACGGGTATAACATACCGGCTATTGATAGATAAAATACCGAGTCGTTACTGATATTAAAAAGTAACGAAAATTTACATAGAGTTTCATATATCGTAGACTGATTTTAGTTTTAAAAACCGTCCGTATAGAAGTTCCGGTGAAGAGAGGTGTCCGTTAAGAGACAATTTAGTGTAGTGTATTTGTTTATTAAATTCAAAAATGCCGAGACGTGTTTTAGATGTAGACAACTTTATATTTAATGTACTTTTTTACTTTACTGCTGAGAAAACCAACGGGGCCCTTTGCCACCAGTACATTCCGTACATAAACGTGTGTGTGATGCACTTTGTATAAGTGAAACAAAACTAAAGTCGGTTTTGCAAAAAGCAAAAAAAAAAGTGGACAAAATGAACAAAATGTCGCAGAATAAATAAATCTCGCCGACAACCAAAGATTATAGATCTTCCCGAAGGTTGCAAATTTGAAATCCGTGAGACAATATATAAAATACGCGAAAAGAAAGAACATGTTTCATTAGATTCAGTGCAACAAAATTAAAAGACAGAAATGTATTTGAAATTTCCAGAACAAGTCTCTGAAAGTTTTGAGACAGATTGGCTTTAAGTTCAAAAAGGAAGACAATAGAAAGGCTTCGTGTGAAAGAGCTAGTGTCGTTCACAAAAGAATAGAATTTTTAAGAAATTATATCAAATTTAAAAAAGAATGTTCTTCTTTCGTTTATTTAGATAAAACATGGATTTTTACTAAAGGCGGTATCAAACAAATTTGGTAGGACGAGAGTATAAAATCCATAAAACACATCGATAACTAGTTAAAGAGATATATGCTAGTACATGCAGGAAACATGGTTTTATTGAGGAAGCAGATCTTGTGATTTCATCAAAATCAGCCGATTATCATGCCAAGATGAATACGGAGATGTTTGTGAAATGGTTGAAAGAAAAATTGTTGCCAAGTTTACTTGAACCATCCGTTATGGTACTGGATAATGCTGCGTACCATTCGGAAATTTTAAATAAGCAACCAACAAACATCTGAATCGTAGATAAAATAAAAGAACGGTTAACGAATAAAAATATTACATTTCCTAAATACTGTTTTAAACCTCAATTACTAATGTTAGCTAAAAGTCATGCACGACCAAACATATATATATATATATATATATATATATATATATATATATATATATATATATATATATGTATATATATATATATATATATATATATATATATATATGTATATATATATATATATATATACATATATATATATATATATATGTATATATATATATATATATATGTATATATATATATATATAAATATATAATATATATATACATATATATATATATATATATATAATATATATATATATATAGTATATATATATATATATATACATATATATATAATATATATATATATATATATATATATATATGTATATATATATATATATACGTATATATATATACATATATATATATATATATATATATATACATATATATATATATATACATATATATATATACATATATATATATATATACATATATATATATATATATATACATTATATATATATATATATATATATATATTTATATATATATATATATATATATATATATATATATATATATATAATATATATAGTAGATGAAATTATACATAGTTTTGGACATTGTGTGTTAAGACTACCGCCCTATCATTGCAATTTAATTCAATTGAATATATTTGGAAGATATGCAAAAGATATTATGATAACCATATTGGATAGAAGGGTTACAGTGACGAGGCAGTCTTGGAAACATGGCATCAAGCATTGGATATATCCACTTCTGAAATTTGGGAAAAAAGTGTAAAAAATGTGAAGACTTAATTGAAGAATGGTGGATCCGTGAAGGTTGCATCGAAGCAGTTAATCCTGTTATAATTTACCATCCGTATGAGGATAGCGACGATAGTGATTATGGCTGTGAATCTGATGGTTGATGATAGTTTTAGGGGATTAGAAGAAAAAGAAAATAAGTAAGATTTTTTTTTTAATACTAATTGAATATTCGACTAAGTATTAGGTATTAAGTATTGTTACACTTCATTTAAATCACTTAATCCAAAAACCAACTTGTTTACAATAATAAACTCAATGATAGTAATTATATATTTCAAAATCTGAATTACAACTGTTCTATAAACTATCAACTGTATATTTATATCATTACTTCATATTTAAATCTAAGGTTTATCTATTGTACAATTCAGCACATTGGACCATTTAAATCGATACCTTAAACCGAATTTAAAACAGTCGTATAATCGGGGAATGGAGTATATATACTTTTTAGCAACTTTTCCTAAATTTTGAAAGAAAAAAAGATATGTTTTTGAAATACGATATTTTTAAGAAACAGAGGGTTTTTCGAATGTTCCTTGATATGGCTAATTTTTACACCGGGATCGTGTCCAGAGAAAAATTTTACATGGAAAATGTATTTTTGGATATTTTTTTGTGCATATAGAGCCCAAAATTTTAAATAAATGAAACTGTACGGGGTATGTCCAAAAAGTAAAAAATAATTGTTAAAAGTGATAATCAAATTTAAAGTAAATGTGTCAAAATATGTATATTACTTCCACACATATTCTTTTTTTTTAAACGCTTAACCCGAGAATATCTTCAATTTAGTGAAAATATAGTAATCCGAAGCAAACAGATTCAACAGGTAGGTGAGTCCTCTTCAAATGACGCGGCAAGGTTCTGAATGCGCTGAGTAGCCAAGTTGGATATCAAATTGACTAACAACATCCATTCCGGTTCAAAAAACCTATGACGAGTTTGCTTCTTTGAAAATTAAACTTTTGAACACAGAGACTTTTGCAGTATTGCAGTCTATCTGGCATCAGTATCACGGCTGCAAGATACGAAAAATGTCCCTGTACTTTAAACATCCCTTTTCTTACTACATTCTGGATGCATATCGAAGCCTGGCGAATAGACTGGACAAACAGAGCCAATCTCAGATGACATAACCTATTTAATTCCATAACCATTCAACAGGCTTCCATCTCCCAAGGGAAACATGGGCAGCATTAAACAGAATACGCACAAGCCACGGCTGTTGCGGATCTTCCTTGTTTAGATGGACCATGAGGTCCAATATTAACTGCGACTGAGCCCAAGAATAAACCATCCACCATATCGCTAATGTGTGCCAACTTAGAGCGTTTACTGGTACCGATGACGACCTTTTTAAGGCAAACCTATTGGCTGAAAAGTAGCTTCAGAATCTAAACGTGGAACTGTAAAGCAGTGTTTCCCAAAGTGGGGGTCGCGACCCCCTGGGGGGTCGCCATGAGGTACTAGGGGGTTGCCGAACATTTCCAAAATAAGACAAAAGCACCACTTTGTTAGATCATGTATTTTTATTTTAAACAACGCCGTAAATAGAAATTAACAATTAATTATCAGACGAAATATAAAACGTATCAGACTTTATTAAAGTCCGTAAAAATAAAAGAGTAAAACAAAGTCAAATACTATAATCTTAATGAGAGCTATGCGCCTGTTTCTGTGAAACTAACCTTTCAAATCTAGGCTGTGTATTTGAGACACACACAATTATATCATTTTCAAGTACGAGACGATTTCTAACTCTTGTTTTAATGGCAGCCATAGACGAGAAACTTAACTCACACAAATATATGATGTTACAAATGGAACCAAACATTTTACAGCTTCACTCGCCAACTGGGGGTATTTCTGCATCTTTTCAGTCCAAAATTGGTCCCAGTTCTGGGAAAAAAATTGGAGCTTCAACATTCCATCACTTGATGTTTCAATAAGTTTTTCTTTCATGTTTATTGGTATTTCAACATGCTGAAAGGAATCGGCTAAAAACGGATTTAGTATCCACCTGCAATTGTCGTAACTGTTTTGAATTTCTTCGGGGAAATAATCACAGAGCTGTTGTTTTAAATTGAGCAAAGTAACATGCATGTCAGCAAAAGCTTGTTCAAAATTTGTAGCACTGTAATTGGATACATTTTCCATAATTTCCTGAAGGCACTGAAGTGAATCGAGTTGTTTTTTGCCAAGTGAGGTCGACCATAAATCGATTTTTCTTAGAAACGCCTTAATTTTATTTGTGGCTGTAATTATATTAATGTCGTACCTTGTAAATTACTATTCGAAATATTGAATTGCTCGAAAATATCAGCAAAGAAACCTAGTTTCAGAAGCTAAATAGGATCGGAAAATTGATTTTCATATGGGGACTTCTCATCTTTCAAATACATTAAAAGCTCTGCTCTTAAGTGAAATACTCTTTTAAGATGTTGCCCCTTGAAAGCCACCTTATTTCGGTGTGATAGAGAAGATTTTCAAATAAAGCACCCATGTCTTAGCAAATTTTTCTAAAAATACGGGTCTGCAAAGCTTTTCCTTTAATGGAATTTACAAATTTAATGATAGTTTTCATAACACAGTCCATTTCAGGAGGTAAAGCTTTGGACGCAAGAGCTTCTCGATGTAAAAAACAATGTCTCCATTTGGCATTAGACATTATTTCTTGTAATTTGACGATAAGACCAGATTTATGTCCTGTCATAGCTTTAGCGCCATCTGTGCATATAGCAATACATTTACCCTAGTCAATATCATATTTTACTTGTACGTTTCACAAAAGTGGCGAGTAAACATTTTCCAGTGGTATTGGTCTCCAATGGGGAACAAAATAAAATATTTTCTTGAATGCTAGTATTTGTATCATATCTTACAAACGTAATGAATTGGGTACAGTTAGATATATCTGTGGATTCGTCCATTTGAAGAGAGAAGTATTATTAAGTGCATTTATTAAGATTTTCCACAACTTGCGCTTGAATATCTTCTGCCATATCACTAATTCTTCTTTGGATATTATTATTTGACAGAGGTATTGTATTTAATTTTGCAGCCTCTCTTTCCCCACACATTATATGTACCATTTCAATAGCTGCTGGAAAAATCAGATTTTCAGCAATTGTGTGCGGATTACTAGTTTTGGCAACACGATAAGCAACTTTATAACTTGCTAATAATGCTTTTTCATTAGTAGTGGTTGCCAAGGGAAAACTGTCTTGCTGTTTGTGAAGGACGTTCAGCTTTCTTTCAAAGAATTCTACGGGCTTGTCTTTTTTATCTGGATGTTTGCTATTTAAATGTCGAAGCAACTTTGATGGCTTCATGCTTTCTTTTGACAAGACTTGTCCACAAATAACACATTGTGGTTTATTGGAAAGAACGGTAAAACCATATTTAAGATATTCATCAATGCAGAATCTGTTTTTCTTTTTATTGCTGCTACTGCCACTTTCAGACGTAGATGGTTCTGCACTTCTTTTTAAAAACTTATCCATAATTTATCGTAGACGTAAATACGTAAACGGGAATACGTAAGTCGTAAAATATTTGCTCATTACTCAACACCGCGTTCGCCACCATAGGCTGTTTGGATTCGAACTGAGGTTTCGTTGCGCATCGCCGCTTATATAAAGCCAAAACGAGGCTACGAGAACGTTCCAGAGTACCATCTAGTAGCGAGCGCTTTCGCGATTATCATGGAAGAGTTTTGCGATGTAGACACAAGCTAATATGTCGCGCTGTACAATGTGCAGTCGACTTCTTATTATATATTTTTATTGTAAATGCTATTCTGGCAGAAGTACCTACTACTAATTACTAGTGGGACAGATCGCAATCATTAAAATAATTGTATTAAAATAAAATAATTGTTTTTGATTTAAACTTAAACAGTAAAGTAAAATTATATTTGAGAAACCATCAGATAATTGTAAATTAGGCACGCTATGTCTGTGAAATAATATTGAATAAATTAGTGGGTGGAAATTGGGGGGTCGCGAACAAATTTTTTAGCAAAAAGGGGTCGCGGTTTAGATAAGTTTGGGAAACTCTGCTGTAAAGAATGGCTGGATGAGTGATATTGAATCCGCAATGGACATATATCTTTTTTAATGTTCTAGTGACTTTTAATGTTTTTTTTATGTTTAATGTTTTATGTTTAATTTTATAATATATTGAAAATGCATTTGATGTGTTACGCCATAACCTAAATAAATAAATATACAACGTAATCGGTTTGGTTCACATAAATATAAATCTGACTTATAAAATAGGTACGATATAGCAACACACATGAAAGAAATACTTACTGTACTGAGATTATTATAGAAATCTGTGTTACCAGCACACAGATATCTTCCTAAAAGTGTAGCATGCGTGGTGAAGACAGTAGCAACGTTGATATGTCTGATTCTGATCATAATGAGACCAACTCCAGCTTGCCATTCGTGAAAATGGGCAACTATCCGCGGAGGGGTACCTCCACCATAATCTTCTGAGGTTTTTCTGAACTAAAAAAAAACGGAAAATGAGTATAAGATGTAAAATATAGTCAATACATAAGTAGCATTTTTCTGCTTGTTTCTGGTCCACTTTTTATCTGGTGACCAACAAGCTATCCTGAGGATTTTTAGGATAAACTTAGAAACAATTTACTTTATCATAACAGGGCTGGGACACAATTTTTTATTTTCCTTGAAGTCATCATTAACTAATATACTTCTCCATTTGCTGTTAAGACATTTTGTTTTATTTTTGAACCAGTATTACTAGTATTCCGCTACATAAATAGAATCCCCCTAATAAATACAAAATTTCAACATATACTCACTTCTCCTAAAAATTCAGCAACCATACAACCCAAAATAATAGCATCGTTAGCTTCTATATCCAAATGAGGAACTCCTACGTTAGTTTTTTCCCACAACTCTTGTTTATATTCATCCAATTTCCACGCTGCAGATCCAATATCAAATAAAATTATCTGTGGATTACCATCAACCAACCATCTTCCAGTAATTACTCTGAATCCTTTGTTCCTAACTGCCTCGATGGCCTTATTGAGAGATTCACACCCCAATGGACCTTCTTCTACTTCTGTGCGTGCACAATGCTCCTTGTAGGGGCCCATAAGGCAGTATTGGTCGCCCATTTCTTCGGTCGAGACATAGGCTTTCGATCTGATGACAGTGTAAATGCCACCAACTGAAAACCAAAAGACCGTCAAATATTATGTTAAAAATGAAGGTAAAATATTTTTTATCTACAAAATACATTTGTGAAAATGGCATCTGCACAAGTATTTAATATAAAAATTATCAGAAAATTCATAACATGTATTGAAGACAATGAATGATATTACACATTGTATGTATATTTACAAACATTGTGTACATATTTTTATGATTAAGTTCTTGAAAACAGTGAGTCACGGTCGTCACGGTTAATAGTCATAAAATATTAAGAATATCAACATAAAACCTATATCTATACCCCTCCCAAACGATTAGCTAGTGATTACAGATAATAAAGAATTTTCGCACTGTACAATTGAGTATGTTTTGATAAATGAAAATATATAATTGTATCATTTAAATATCTTTAAAAGTATTTCCAAAAAAAACAGAACCTTCTTTGACCAACAAATAGACTAAAAATCTTAGACCAAAAAAATAGCTTCTTTGTTCTTAAATTCACTTTTTCATTATTTATTAATATTAAGAGCTGAAAATTTCGACCGCCATCGTTTTCTGTCCACACATTCGTCTTCTTTGATGGCTCTGTCTCCATTATGCTTATGTGCCATGTCTCCATTTTCTTCCCAGGCAACTGAAGACCTTCCTCTTATTCCTCTTTGTTGTGGTATATAATTTAAAGCTTTCTTTGGCCATCAATCTTCATTTATTCGCGTCACGTGACCATACCATACTAGTTGTCTCGTTTCAATTCTACCTACACTGGAACATACAGTATTTGTCCTCCTTCTAATATCTTCATTCTTGATATGATCTTTTTTGGATACACCTCATGCTCTCCTTAGAAAATCCATTTCTACTACTTCTATTCTTTTTCGTGATCTGCCAAACTTCTGCCCCATAAGTCATAATAGGCTCTACCTATACTGTTCGATAGATTGTCAAATTCGTTTCTTGTCTAATATCTTTAGACCATAGTAGAGAGTTTAGAATGTTTATCGCTTTTTTTCCCTGATGCGTTCTGTTTTCGATGTCTGTTTTGGTAGTGCCTTCTCTAAATATTATAGATCCGATATATATAGATTCAACGCATGTTTTTGTGTTTCTAATTTCTAACTCTGGATCTTCTTCACCATCTCCTAATTTAAGATACTCTGTCTTTGACATATTCATATTGAGGCCCTATTTTTTATGTTGTCCAAACATGTAGTTCATGTCTTCTTCATCATTCGCTACGACTACCTGATCATCTGCGAAAAATAAAGTTGTTAGACATTTACCACCGCCTATGTCTATTCGCATTCCGGATACTTGTTTCCTCCACTGGAAACAAGTATCCGTGTTTCCTCCACAATTTTATTTTAACAAAATCTCTAAATCCTCTAACAACAACAAAACCACATGGGCTGTTATAAATGAACTTAATGGAAAACAAAAAAATCACAAAAATATCTGTCTAAAAATAGATGATACTAGGATTACAGATTCAGATATAATATCAAAAAAATTTGATGATTACTTTATAGATGCACCAGTGGATATAATTAGTAAAATAATTAAACCAAATTTAAATTTTCAGCATTCCAATGATTTTGTTCAAACTAGTTTGTTCCTATCTTATGTAACAGAGGAAGATGTCTTAGATATAATAAAATATAAAATTAAAAACAAAGCATCGTGTGGTTTTGATGAAATATCAGGTATAGTAATTAAGAAAATTGCGTCTCAAATTTTGACACCACTGACTCACATTATAAATGCTTCTTTCAATACTGGTGTTTTTCCCAATATGCTGAAAACTTCTATCATTTCACCGGTATTAAAACAAGGTGATCCTGAATTAATGTCAAATTTTCGACCATTGTCTGTTCCATCTGTGATATCTAAGATTATTGAATATACAATGCTAAAACAACTTTTATTATTTTTAGATATCAACCAAATTATCACAAAGCATCAACATGGATTTCGAAATAAATTTTCTACTTCCACAGCCATTAACAGTTTTTTATGATGAAGTCTTACTCTCAATTGAGAACAGTGAAAATCCAACTGCCATTTTTTGTGATCTCAGTCGTGCATTTGATTGTGTGCAACACGATGTGCTCCTCGATAGATTGTACAGATATGGTGTTAGGGGAGTTACCCATAGTTGGTTTGTTTCTTATCTGAAAGACCGGCACCAAATAGTTAAAGTGAAAAATAACTTCAAGATTTCAATGTCTGATCCGATTATTAATAAGAATGGAGTACCACAGGGCTCAATATTGGGCCCTATATTATTTATTTTGTATATTAATGAACTACCACATGTAATGCCTGATGCATTTGTATCAGTTTATGCGGATGACTCAACAATGCTATATCGCGATAAAGACATAAATTTTTTACAAGATAAAATAACAAACTCTCTGAAGACCTTCTCTGATTGGTCCAGTAATCAGTCGCTCCTGTTCAATGTTCACAAAACTTTTATCATTTACATCACGTTCAAATTCAACCAAACCTGATTTAAGTATTTCCATCAATGGTGAGGATATTTTGAGTTGTAGTGATGTGAAGTTTTTAGGAGTGTCTTTCGACTCTCATTTATCTTTTAAGACTCATTGTTGAAATGTATGTAAAAAACTCAATTCTAAATGTTATCAATTGAGAAATTTGGGTAGAATACTTAGTCTGCAACACCTTCGTCTTTTTTATTTTGCTGAAGTACAATCGACAATAAGTTACGGTATAACTGTCTGGGGTGGTTCTTCTAGTGTAAAGGACGTTTTCAAGGCCCAAAAACGTATTGTCAGATGTATAGCAGGTGTTCCGTATGGTTGGTCTTGTAAAAACCTATTTAGAGATTTGAATATATTAATAGTGTATGGAATTTACATTTTGGAATTATTGATACTAATTCATAAAAATAAAAGAACTTTTTTATGTAACAGTGATATTCACTCACACAACACAAGAAATAAGAGACAGTTTGTAGTACCCTATCGACATTTAGAAATAAGCAGGAAGTCATCTACCATCTGTGGTTTACAACTGTATAATCAACTTCCTCAAAATTTTAAAAACATTAATTCAACTACAGCTTTTAAAAACCAAGTCAAAGAGTACCTAGTAACCATGTGTCCCTATACATTAGGTGAATATTACCAGGGTGTATCTGTAAATGCCTAAGCTGCAACATAACCAAATTTATTAATATTTTAATTATATGTCTATATTGTACGTTTTTTTAAGTATTTTAATGTCTTAAATATTTTTAATGTATTGTTTTCATTTTTTGTAATATTTAATATTTATAATTTTAGTTTTGACTTGCTGTAAACCTAGTTGTAACTTACAGTCAAATAAACTATCTATCTATCTATCTAACTGCTCTAGCGATGATTGAATATATATTTTAAACAAATTCGGAGATAGACAACATCCTTGTTTAAGCCCCTTTGTTATTGGAAATGATTAAGATATAAAGTTTCCTTCTTTAACGACACTTCTTGCATTTTTGTATATATTTGCGATAGCACACACATACTCTCCACTGAGAACTACTTTCGTCAATGTTTGAAACTGTTTTTAAAAAGGTACTGTATCGAAGGCCTTCTCTAAATCTACAAACAATATGTGGGTAGATAGATTCCTTGATTTCCGTTTTTCGATTACCTGCTGCAGAACGAATATACCATCAGTGCACGATCTTCCTGCATGCAATCCATTTTGGATTTGTTGTTCTTCGCCAACCTCCCCACTAAGCTGATAACAGTTATTCCCCTATAATTAGAGCATTTGCGTTTATCACCTTTCTTGAATATTGAGCTGATGTATCTCAACATTCCAATCATCAGGGATATTTTGTCCTTTTAAGCATTTGTTAAATAGTTGAATCGACATCTCATGTAATATTTTTGGTCCATACTTTACCAACTCAATTGGGATGTCTCCAGGTCCTGCTGCTTTTCCGTTTTTGAGGTAAATGTAGAATGTTGAAAAAATTCATTCATAATTTTGAGAGACATTGTTTCACAAAAATCTCTAAGACGCGTTCCGTTGTCATTGGTTATTTGTTCCCCATATCTTCCTACGATTCTGATATATTCTTCTCTCCCTACTCTGCCGTTTAAATCTCCTAGTATAAAGATTTCACAGTTTTCTTTAACTTCAAAAAGTGTTTCATTCATCTTGTAGAAATCTTCTTTACTTTCTGGATCTGCATCTTCATTTGGGGCATACCCTACGTCAATTACGATGTTGTGCCCATTATTTTTCATTTCCAGTACTAGCAGTTGTTCATTTACTTCCGTCCACGATTTAATATTGTTTTTAAGATTTTTTCGAATGGCAATAGAGACTCCTCTGTTATCTTTACTCACTCCACTGTAGATATGTGTACATTCTTCTATCTCTTCATTTCTTTTTCCCTTTTTTTTGGTCTCGGTGAGAATACATATAACTATTTTTCTTTCCGCTACTTCTTTGAATACTTCTACTTGTTTGGTTCTAAGTATTTGTACATTCCATGTAGCCAATATCATTTTCTTTTTCCGTTGCATTAGTCGTGTTTGTTTTGATCCATCCTTTGTATTCCGAGGCTTTTGGTCGACATTTTTAGCATTTATTTCTTTTGAGTCAATTTGACAAATTCTAAATAAACATCTAAATTTTATGATCCGACTTTTAGATGACATATACAGTGAAGGAGTAAAACGTTATAACCCGTTAAAGTGATGGATACCGCCACGGAAAACTGAAAGAGAGAATTGTCCGCTGCAATATCTCGGCTTGTTTCTTGTTATTCGTCGCTGATATCTCCCTTCTTATGAAGTAAGATGATTTCCGCGTTGTTCCACTGTCAGCCGTACCGGACGCATTTAGAAATTCGGAGAAATACTTGGAAATTCCAAGTTTGGGCAAATCCGGATTTCTAATTGACTCGATGCAGGGAAATTCCACTTTTGCTACGTAAAACAAAGGATTTGTTTTATAATTTCTCTCATCGGTCAGTCGAGCTTGCCT